CCCCAGCAGTTAAAAAATAGTTCAAAAATTCTACCGGCTAGTTGTTCTTTCTGTCTCAAACTGTATCACTTTAATTAATAGAATTGCATTTGTTATGCATCAGTCAATTTTTTAACTTTCAGCCTATTAATTCTTGTAAACAATGATCCAAATAACAAAGCAGCTATAATTCTTCAACTAAGTAGATAGAAAACTAAAGAAAAAACAATGACACGAGGTGTTCAGAAATTGTTATTTATTAATTAAAAATAGATCAATGCTAGTAAAAAGTAGTATCTAAATGGATTTTCTTTACAAAGTGGCAAAACTGTTGAAGGGTTACAAAAATATAAATACATTCTGAGGTAATAAAAGAGTCAAAACAAAAAAAGCATAGAAGTGTTCCGTAAATAGCTGATTGGTGCCCATGTAAATCAAGATTAGGAAAAGAAAAAACTCTTTCACCCTCGGGTTCTGCACCTTCTTTGTTTCTGTAATAAAAAACATAAAAAATTTATATTTGAGACCTTAAAGCGCCTCAGTACTCAAACTTCCTTTAACCAAACAACATATCAACTGTTTGAAATGAGAACTAAATGCATTTCCCAAAATAAAAAGCTAAACGCTATTGATAACACTAAAATTTTATAATGTTGAAAAAAACAAAATTCCAAATTTTATTTTCCACTGTAATATATCATCTTCAAAGAACGCAGAGTTGCTCTATCAAATCTATATTGTAGTCGTAAAAATAAGAAAGTACAAAATTTTTGTAGTAAAACAAAACTGTACAATAACCTTCTCTTTTCATCCCCATTCGTTGACATTTTTTGTATCGGCAATATTGACAACGATTTCTTTGTCGCTTATCAATAACACAATTCCGATTTTCTCGACAAGAATAACTCAAATCTTTCCGAACTGTTCTTTTGAAAAATCCTTTGCAACCTTCACAGCTAAAATTTGTTATCACTGAATTGTGCATCAACTACAGAAATGACCACAGATTTACAGTGAAGGAAAGATGCTGAGCAAAATAAAAAATTTTGAAAATTCATAACGATATGCCGTATGGTACTTTTTTCTAGTCAAATACATTAGACATTTTGTGCAGGAGAATCTGTCTTGCAAAACTGTAATTGTGTGTCAGCGGCAGCTAACTTTACTCTATATGTAGACACCGCAGTTTCGTCGATATGGTCGATCTCAACAGTATAGAGGTCTAATTTGAGAAAAAATCTGTTACAAATAAAGTGCATTTTTTCTTATTTTTACTTCTATCTTTTTTCTTCTTTAATTTACACTATGAAATAAGACAATATTTCTACCAAAACTTGCTACTAATAACGATAAATATAGAATTTGAAACCGGACCGATTGAAATTATTTCACCTATCGCGAAAAGACTTCTGTTATTTTGAATAATGTCCAAATAATGCCTAATCAGAAATGAAATTTGTTTTACAAAAACAACGCTTCTGTAAGATGACTACCGGTTTGCACAGGAAAAGTTCCTTTGTGCAACGTGCCTATTTTATCACCCTAAAATGACAGACAACAGTGATATTCAAAAACTTGTCTTTAGTTTAGTAATTGCACTTGCCTTGATCTAAAATCTTAAACAAGTTAATTCTGTATGCTGTAAAAGCCACTTGTAATATCATTGTTGAGTGAAAAGAGTAACCTGTAGACACCGTAATGCTTTCCCGATGCTCGATCACCACATATTGCGCAGATATGTTTACCAATCTCTAGCGGGTGTTGTGGAATCAGGGCATTATGTCGGTTAAGTAACGGAACATTTGGAGTTGTGCTGCAAATATGCAACTCAACACTCCGTCCAGAATCCTATCTAACACATAAACTAGTCCATAACTAAATGCCCTTATTTGCTCTCAAACATCAAACTTATGCGGTGAAGACTTCTTTTTACACTTCTGGCGTTTCCTAATTGTAAAAAAAAGACGTTTTGAAACAATTTCTCCTTTAAAATTTTAGCATTTCTAACTCCAATTGACCTCAAAACAGAAGAAGTTATTAATAAGCCTTTAAAAGCACTAATATTGAAGGATAAACTCATAAAACTGCCAAGAAAAACTTTCTATCTTACCAACTGTAACGCAGCAATAAACGAAAATCTAAGAAAAATTCGTTTTAATAAAGAAGATAAAACCAAAAATCACTACATTTTTATCCTAAAATTTTAAAAGTTATAACAATTACAGTTTATATTTTTAAAATTAATAATCTATTCCCCTCCTTCTGGTTGCTTTTAGAAAAATTTTTATATTTAGAACCTGATAAGCAAAAATTTATCAAACGAATTTTTAAACGCTGGAAAAGTGCTGAAAAAAAATAACAACAGAGAAAAGCGATTGCTAAAATAATGGCGTGTTTAAGTGGGCGGAGGAATAAGGCGAATAATTTGGTGTCAGCTGGGCAATAAGGTCATTGAACTTCAATTCCGACAACCGTCAAATCGTCCCTCCATTCATAAGTGGTTACAACATTATTACCCCTTGTGTACTGTTTTAACTTGATCAATGCTTTTTCTACACCCTAAATATTTCACCTTTAAAATCCCAGTTTTATTCATACAAAAATACCAGCGATAAAAGCAAAACTTGAAACAAGTAATCCAATCTTTCTCCTCTGAGCTTCTACTTCAATAACTTTATTCCTCCGACCCGCTTAGCTCATTAAATTTATGGTAAAATCAATTAAAAAAAAAGCCAAGTAAAAAAAAAATGAACATTCTGAAAAAGTAAACCAAATAATACAACAAATAACCTGGAAACTTGATCACTTGACGTCGTAAAATCGCTGACAGTTGTCTCTGCCTGGGGACTATATGCCAAGGGTACTGTGGCTAACAGCATTTCTGAAGAGCTTTATAATACCAGTTCTTTGCTAATATTACCTAAAAGCTTCAGTCAGTAGGTCTGAAAAGTACCAAACCGAGTAGTCAGTATCAATGCTGAAGGTAAGAACATCAAATCAAACACGTTAACAATTTATTCTGACTTTATAAAACACTGGTAGCGAACAAAAAAAAAAAAAATAAAATAAAATATGAAATGTTTTTCTTACGACTATACTATGCAAAACATTTTTAAAAATTTTTCCTGCTTTTTTCCTTCCGTTAATATTATTAACAAACAAAATTCAATAATAAAAACCAAAGGAAAAAAACCAACGCATAAATTTTATAAAAAAAGAAAAAAATAAAAAAAAAATCAAGAACATTCGAAAAAATAAAAGAATACTCGGATAAAATAAAACTGTTTTGCTTCTTCATATTTATCCTATTGCAATGACGTAAAAATATTGCTGAAACTTTTCTCTCAAGAAAAAGAAAAGTATGTATATATATATAGTTTTTGCTTAAATTTTATAGAATTAAAAGTTCACTGAAATCAAAGCTAAAGACGTTTAAAAAACGTTAGAAAGAAGTTGACACAACTTCTGCAGTGAAACAAATACAAAAAACTGCTGTTTTGAAAACAGTTTACGTTCTAAATTCTGAAAACCGCAGGTGACAAGGGCCAATGCAATTAGGCCAGTCAATCAGAACTGGGTTGTTGCCATTGAAGATGATGGCATGAAACGATTTAACCATTAAACGAAGCTTTCAAACTGACAACTATTTACTGCTAAAATCATAGAAAGTTTTAATTCCAGCAAGATTTTAATTTCTAAATTAGAAACAGCAAAAAAAATTTGTAAAAAATGCTGGTTGAGTAATGTTTAAACTTTCAGTATTTTACTGCTATCTTATCTCTTTCTAATGCATTTACTCGTTATCAATAATAAACTTAACATTATACCGTGTACCATAAAGTATATTTTATTTATTCTTAAAATATCTGTTTTTTTATCCTCCAAAACAAGAAAAGATGGTTTTTTATCGGTCAGTATAAAATAAGAACAATTAAGAACAATTTAAAATTAAGAACAACAATTTTTAACAATTCAAACAATTTACTAAGAACAATTTAAAAAATCAAAAATTTCTATCTTACTTGTAGCACCTGCACAATATATAAATTTATAAAAAAAAATCATTGAAAAAACTGTGTCTAAGATTTACTGAGGTAGGGAAAAAAACTCATTATAAAGGTAATTTTTGCTGTAAGTGATATAGGCGAAAGATGAGATACAGCTGACGAGAAAAAAAGACATCTTTACTTTGTTTTTTTATGTTTTTTTGCAAAGTTAAATTTAGTAAAACATCACATAGAGTTAAAAAATTACTTTTACAAAAGTCAGTGCCTAATTTACCAGTAAATCGCTTCATATAATTAATTTAGTCGTTAGAAGAGAAAAATGGAAAAAAAAGTTACGTATTTATGAACTATACGATAACTGTATCAAATAATTGTAACTAAAGAAAAAGGCTTTTAATTAACTGCAAATTTGACAAATATTCAACGCTTAACACCACCGTCAGTAATTACTTTGTTTAATAACAGGTTTATCAAACTGCACAGTAACATTTTACCTTCTTACTACTACTGCTACGATAATTGCGACAGTAGCGACGACAACAGTTGTAGTTTTTATAGGCGTCAAATAAGCAAATCTATAGATCTCTATAGAACAAACAATTCATTCCTTCTACGTAAGGAAATAAAATTATGAGCTTTTTCACTCAATTATTCAAAAAAAGTTCAGCTTTTAAGTATAACTCTTGAAAGATCAAACAATGATGATAGAGAGATAAGAACTGAAAATTAAAATTATCGATTCTTGCTTTAAATAATTCGAATTATGCTAACAACATTTATATAGTGCAAGTTAGTTGTTGAAATTAGTTATAAATTTTCTTATATCTATAGTGCAATCCAACTAACTAGTTAGGATTTTCAAGAACAGTTTTGGTGCCGGTGGTTTGATTAACCAACAACTATCAATTACGTGGGTACACCGAATGTAGCAGACACATAGACGAGGAAACAAATACAGATATACAAACAAAAAACACACAGACACAGACAGATACAAGAAAACAGATACGAAAAAATATGTAATAGAAAAACAGACTGAAACGTCAAGAACGCAGAAGTCGATAAATTAACCTGCAGATACCTTGTATGCACATCTACATTAACATTCCTTTAGCCCTATATTCCTTCTTCACCACTTCTCAATTATTCCCAATAATTTTGATTAAAGAATCAATTGCCGACAGTTCATCGATTAACAAGTTTAATTATAACGACAATCCATTACGAGATTGTACCGCTAATAAGTAACTATCGTAGTAACAGTAATTATTTTAGCAATATTGATAAACCTTTTCGAAAATCATTAAGCAGTTCATTGGTTAGCCTGACGTTAAGCAAGTAAAGAATCCCAAGTAGACCCAAACGACAACTTTGTTATAACAAATAAACTGAGAAAGGCTTATTGAAAGCAACAAAGTGCGCTGCAATATTTTAAAACACAGTATAAAAACAAATTTTACTGTGCTTTTCAACTCTAAAAAAACAATAAAACAAACCAAAAACCACCGAAAAAGATAAGCACAATAAAGATACGAAAAAAATTTTGCTTCTTTCCTGTCGTAAATTAAAAAATTGGTACCTCAATTCAGCATCACTGTATTCACTCCTTTTACCTTTCCTCCATCAATAAGAAAACAACAAAAGAAAAAATGATTATTAAAATAAAGAATCAGAATAACAGATTTTGTGTCCATGTTACATAAATGCTCAAAAGAAAAAAAATAATAAAAAAAAAAAAAAAGAAATGGAAAAACTAAAGTAAAACGTAAACGAAAAATAAATATGTAACAAAAATAAAAAATAAATTTCATTATTTATTTCTTCTATCCTTAATCATCCACTAATAAATTTTTGAACTTAAAAATTTCTAAAAATGTAAGCATTTTCTTTTCGCGACAGTTGAAAGCTATTAGTTGTCAGAAAATGCATAGCGTGCAATGATGCTTATATCAGTCAATCTGATATTCGTAGAGAAGCAAGAAATTGCCATGACTGATATCTTTATTCGTCACTTATCCTAAAAAAGCAATCGTTGTTGCGCCTGTGTTTAGTAAGTGCAGAGATAT